GATCCGATTTGTGATCTGTGCAAGGAATATGACATTGATGTAGGTCCTATTATGAGGGAATTAAAATTAGGGCCAAAACCCTTCCTCGGGAGACGACTCACATCCAGTCGTTGGTCCATCCGCCACTGGAGTTGTATGCTAGTCAACGCCCGCTATCATTTCATCTAACCGCAATGTTGGACTCACCCGATCCAACCAGTGGCATATTTTTGGTCTGGGAGCAAGTTGTCTAGATGAAAAGGGTCAGGTCCCAGCGTCTTAATTGATCCACGAGACACGCACCGCGGAAGAGGTCAGTGGGTGGCCCTCGGAGAAAGCGCGAGGGATGGTAGGGTGGAAGGGGCGGAGACGCTTTAAGAGGGAGAGGGACCGACTCGTCGTCGGTGGCGAGGAGGTGGTAGCTCCAGGGAGTGTGGTGGTAGTGGAACAACAGGAGAACGACAGTTAGTATCGGTAAAATCACGAGAAAAATGGGACGACGAGTGAAGCGGTGTCGGGGGGCTGAGGGAGTTGTTGACCACGGTAGTCCGCAGATGGTTTGCGACGATGGTCGCTGTTTGGCCACAGGACTCGGAGACTCATGGAAGTAGTTGATGTGAGACCGGATGGATATACATGGATGTGAATTGCATTTTGCCATTTTCCAAACTGGGAAGATCCTCCCTCCACACCTCATTCTTGTACGTCAACCATCGCTGAGGCACTCCTACCAATCATGGTCCTGGCCATGCTCTAGGTTACCTCCCGGGCCTCCAGCGACAACCCGGGGACCTTGGTTGGTCCTCCAGCTGCCCTTTTCTGTCCCCCACTTTTCTGTCCTTCCCACCATGTCTGCTGCTAATCCACAGGATGTGTCTCCCTCGAGAATCAAGTTGGCTGCCGTCGTGGGCTTCTACATGACCGCCGCTTTGGTGGTGAGCATAGTGCCTTGCCATTTACACTGGGGTGGCCTCATAGTTGGCTTCGTCCAGATGGTCTTCGTGAACAAGGCCGTCCTTATTTCCACGCCTGATCTTCCGCTTACATTCCTTGCAAGTGCTCTCCCTCCTCTACGTATACGGACGTTGGTCCTGACCCTTGGCATAGTTCATTCAACTCGCGCTTGCTGTTGTACTACTACATCTCGCCTCTCTTGTTGCCTCTGGTTTTCCAGATTCAGAGTATGCTCGCAAGCTCGAATTGCCCAGCCTATCTTGGTCTGTTTCTTGGAAGCTCCTCCCCGTGGTGTCGGTCAACATTATTGGTCTCGTCTTCAACACATTGTGCTTGAGGGATGTGGATGCTTCTTTTTTCCAGGCGAGTCCATGTCACACGCAGAAATAAAATCTATTCTTCACGAACAGGAACGATGTAGATCGCTCGAGGACTTTTATTGCCATTGACGATTGCAGTATCTTTCGTGCAAACCCGCCTGCCACCCATGCGGCCCGTTGTGCGAGCAGCTGTTTTGGTCACCGCCGGATTCTTCGTGGGTGCCTCCCCAGCTTCGCTGTGGTCTTCATCTCGCACCCTTCCCCTCGACGTCACCGGTCTCTCCTTGTTCTATGGTTGCATGTCCTCTCTCATGATTGCCGTGCATGCGGTCCTGGTTAAATCCGCCCACTCGTACGTTGGGAATTCTTCCATCAAATTAGCCTATTTTACCAACCTGTGAGACCTGCCCCGACTTCAGCTCACCCGTTTACTAAATCTGCAACTTGATAGGGGATCTGCAATCGCACTCATCCCTGTGATTGGATTAGCCGGTGAAGTGAACACACTTCTCGAACGTAGAGCGAGTGCTGGGAGCCAATGGCTGACCTTTGCCGTCGGGAGCGTAGTCACTGGCGTCTTTGGTTTCTTCCTCTGCATGGCTGGACTGATCTCGATCAAGACCACGTCCCCTGTGACGCACATGTTTGTCTCAGTAAGTCTACTTTCTCCCATAATGAGTCACAGGTTGTTTACGTTCTTTCCCACAAAGGCAGGGAGAAGTGTGATTCAAACTATTTTGGGGGTTATAATTTTCAAGGATATTATTACGTCGTGAGTACTGCGGCATGGCCTGGTGAAAATCAGAACTCACCCCAAGCTTTCAGAAACCGCCTGTTCTCTATTTGTATTATCACGGTGGGCACTCTGTATTTCACTTGGGTGAAATCTTTGAATTCCCCATCTGCTGGGGCTGACGTCGAGAAGCAAGCGGGGGAACACCATGGATAAATTACTGTGTATTAATTGTGTAGTCATCAGAAACAAACGGTGGAAGAAATGTCTAGGCTAAAAATATTATGTATTATGTAATCAATCACATGAGTGGCTCCCAATTCACTTCATCGTGTGGCCCACCTTGTGCTGGAAGCCACCAAGTATGGAAATACCAAGAAGGATCATCCAGGATGATGAACAGGTTGGATGCTGTTCCTAGACAGGTCGCGTATGTGTTATACCTGGCACTATACCTTGGCACTATTCCCGGGAGGTTGGTAAAGTTACTTTTTAGGTAATTGCTCCCGAAGAGAACATACGGTCCTCCAGGTTATATATGATAGCCGTTCCTTTGTTTGGGGCCCTGTGGGCCATATGTATCCTGAAATCCCCCCCAAGGTTCCAACTGTCATGTCGAAACCGGCAGAGTCGCCTAAAGCGACCAAGTACGAGCGAATCCTGGGCGACAACGAACTGTAAGCGTTATAGGAAACGAGTCCGTCCATAGGGTTGACTTTGGGCACAGATCATATTTCCTTCCGAGTCGTGCGGATGGGGCCAACGATATGTACTGTGAGGACGAGAAATAACACCATCACACAGTTGGTGTTTCTAACGACAATTCCCTCAGTGCATATTGGCTTCCGTGCCCGACGCGATGTTGTAAATTCTCCTCGAATTTTCCTCATATGGTCCATTCTCCGGCTACGACATCCCCTCCTTGCCTCACATGTGGAGATGGAGGAGGGTATGTATGATTCCGTGCGCTTCGCGTGAGTCGACGTGTTCCTTGAGGCGTGGGGGTCGTTCTCATCATTTTGGGTGATATCTCCCTCCGAATTTCTAGGTACGTGCCGCCTCTAAGTGCTCGCGACGCGCTTCTGGATGGTGAGGCCAATGTCGAGATTTGCCCTGGTCGGACAAAGGACGAGCTCATCGACGGATATCTCAATGGACCACGAACTCTCTCCAATACTCGTCTGTCATATCTCATCGTCTCGCACTCCACCACAGATGATCTAGGCAATCTGGATCCAGATGCTATCACCGAGTTCAACATCATGATTTGTGCGGCGCATTTCCTCGGGGATGGTATGGCATTACATCAGACTGCCAATGATTTTTTCTCGCTTTTGGGTGGTAAGAGTGAGGAATCGTGCACTGATTGTGTGCGTAGCGTCGACGAGCTATACGCAATTCTGGAGGACGAATGGAAATTGCGCTGGGCCTGCGAGGCCTCGGTCGAACAGCCCATCCCTGCGACCACCGAATCGAGGCTTCCATCGCCCAAGTGTAAATTTCAACGTGCTGCATTAAAGGTGGATTTCGAAAACAGTCAAGATCGCCTTGTTGTAAGTGACTTTCTCAGGTCGAGTGACGTGGACTGAGCTGGGTGGACAGGGCGGGCATACATTTCCCCGAATTGGTGCAGGAACGCGCAGAACCATAGTGCCGACCGTGTCATTCGACAAGGCGCGAACAAAGGCGATTCTGAAAAAGTGCAAGTCGGAAGGGGTCACGATATCGAACGCGTTATTTGCGCTGTGCAACTTTGCGTGGATGCGTACGATGCGGGCCCGTGATGATCTCGCCATCCCTGACTCGCTCAGGGATGGATCGGTGCCAATGATGATGTATTCTGCTCTGAATATGCGGCCATACCTTGATCCCCCCCTGCCACTTTCGCATCTTCCGTCCTCATACTGGTTCCTCTCAGTGGGTTACTTCAATATCGTCCTCCCCTCTTTCATCCCAAGTACCGCTCCTGCTTCTTCCACCTTTTGGCACCGAGCACGGAGTGTCAAGGCCCAGGGGGGGAAATACATGAAGAGCCCCATGCTTGTTTCCCGGAACCAGGAAATGGCAAAAGTCCGCGGAAGACGCGCTCGGATGTTCGCAAAGGAAGACGATGAGGAGATGAAGGCGGCCTCGGAGCCGAAGTAAAATGCGCCCCCGCTCCCGCTCTCGCCCACCATCTTCTTCCTTCTCCCCCGGCTTCTCTTCTCTCTTCCGAAGGAGAAAGCGACACCCGTTCCGACGGCCCGCCATCCCGCATTCCGGCATCCCCGCCTCTTAACACCGACAACGGCAATGCCCATGACGTCTCGATCGCCGCCCCGATCACGCCCTTGGATACACCCCCCAGGACACCCGTCCCCATCACCATGTCCCTCCCCCTGAAAAAACCAGCCCCCTCCTCCGCCCTCATTGGACTCTCCCTCCTCGGCAACCTCGACGCGACCTACCAACACGCCGCCTTTCCCGCGCTCGAGCTCCACACCCTCACCACGGGCAGCAGACAGCGTCAGGGCGGCATGCTCCTCTTCGGCTACTCGTTTGCGGGCAAAATGTGGATCAGTCTCGGCTGGGACGTGAATGCTTTCCAGCAAGGTGTCGTCCAGGACTTTTGGACACGCGTCCTGGCGGGCGTTGAAGAATTTTTGGAATCTTGAAGCGGACGTGTGTTTGGTTAGAAGTTTGCATATATATAGAACCACCAGACATTTTTTATCTTGACGTACGAGTACATAAGTATGGACAATTTCTATGAGGACCATTTCTTTATACCTGTGGTCTGAGATGGTCTTGCTGGGATTCAAGTCGGCGGCTCCTTTCGGTTGACTTGAGTCGTGGAGTCGGGAATTTTCTCACTAACTGTCACGGGTTCTTTGTTCCACAATCTGAAAGAGAGGCCAATTGATTAAAAGCCGAAAAGTGACGTGCTAAGATCATTACTGTACGCCTTCTGTCCGCGAGTCGCAGCATCCACAGTCCACCAGCTAAAATATCTGATTTCGACCGCAAAAGTGTACTGATGGGTGAGGGATTTGAACCCTCGTCCCAAGAATGAGAGCGGGACTTAAATCCGCCGCCTTAGACCACTCGGCCAACCCACCGCACCTTACAGGGTCCGCTCGCGGGCATTCTGACTGCTGCGGATGTTTTAGGGGTGAACCCCCGGAAACAGGCGATTTGAATTGACTGAATTTGCAAAAAGTTTGGCCGTTTTGGTCTAGGGCTGATGAAAAAAGTCTTCCCAGGGTAAAGTATCGCGGGAGTGTTGGGACTCAAAAACAGTACCGCATGTTTCCGGCGGGGGGCGGGATGAGGGGCTCATCATTGTTCATGTGTCTCAACTGTGTGTTGCGCGACAGAGTATAACAAAGCTCCCACTGGTTACTATCTGGTCTCTATCAGAATCAAACCACACCATAGAAAACTCGGGGAGAAGGTGCCAATGGCAACGCAGGTAACCATGGTCAAATTTGGCAGGTAAACGGCTTGGAGTTCAGCGATAGGTGCGATAGAACCGATGTGAATGGATGCGCATATTATTCTGACTGGCGAGAATGGGCCACTTTTAGTAACCTGGAACCTGCAATCTGGGAGATGAAGAAATGTATAGAGAAGGAAAGGAGATGGGTACCGTCCAACCCGACTCGTGGTTACACGACGATGTCGTTCCGCCACCGGATTCGTTGACTGGACGGTGAAACAGCAACACACAGACGAGACATGTACCCTAGAGAGTGCCTTGAGCACACATGGGGCGTCGATGGGCCAAGCTCAGAAGGCAGTAATCTGGAGCGATTCACAAATGGAAAAAAGATCAAAGCCAATCGTCGGCTGATGCGACTAACAATTGACCCCATATGGGACATTGTCGGGGAAGACAGGATAGCGGGGATGTGCGAGTTGTGGCATTCGGCAAAACACAAGATATTCCCTGAGATATAGTAGATAGTGTGCTCCAGGCTACACGATGTGGTGAGCATGAGAGTGTCACGACAGTTAGCAAGGCATGCCCTCCGCTGGATAACACAGTGTCTAAAAAGCGTTAAAAAAAAAGGAGGGTGACGGAGGCGAGCATGGTCATCGTGTGGACAGTAGGCGGCGGCGCGGCGCCGCCTCAGAATGGGGGCCCGGTCGCAAGAAAGGAGAGGTCGTTTTGGGCCAAGTGCCTCGTGAGCGTTGTAGCAAAGGTTTCAATTGAAAAAGGGCATCACGAGTCCAAACACTCCTCTACTCTCACCCCTCCCCCCAACCAACAATCCCGCCCTCCTCCTCCTCTATGGCCACACACGGTCCCATAAACGGTGTCAAGATATCGGGTACGTCTCTTGCCGCTGCGCGCTTCCCCGTCTCTCTACTCGTTCCCTAGATGCTAATACGGTTACATTTCCTTCCATTTCAATCCACCTCCTATATCCACTTCACTCCTTTCTTACTCTCCTCCCCCATGCTACGCATGCTCTTTCCAGCCATAGACGATCCAAACAAAGTCATAAAGGTTGTCGCATGCGATGGCAAGACTGGCGAACAAAAGGACGTGTCCTACACAAACTGCAAAATCATTGGCAACGGCTCCTTTGGCATCGTCTTTCAAGCCCGTTTGGCTGGAAACAACAAGGGTGAAGACGACATTGCCATTAAAAAGGTTCTCCAAGACAAACGGTTCAAGGTTCGGACTCCGCCTGCGTCGCGCACCGATTCTGTCTCATCCTCTCTGCCCCAGAATCGAGAGCTTCAGATCATGCGTCTAGTATCCCACCCTAATGTCTGCGAACTCAAAGCTTTCTTTTACTCCAACGGTGACAAGGTTCTTCTTCCGCGCTTCTCCCCTTCGGCCGCAGCATTCTCACCTTGCCCCTCTAGAAGGACGAAGTCTACCTCAACCTCGTCCTCGAATACGTTCCGGAGACAGTCTACCGCGCCTCCCGGCACTATGTAAAGCTGAAGCAGCCCATGCCCATCCTTCAGATCAAACTGTACATGTACCAGCTTCTACGGTCACTGGCTTATATACACTCCGTCGGAATCTGTCATCGCGATATCAAGCCCCAGAACCTCCTTCTCAATCCCGCAACCGGCGTCCTCAAGCTTTGCGACTTTGGGTCAGCAAAGATCCTCGTGGCCGGCGAGCCCAACGTTAGCTATATATGCTCTCGTTACTACCGCGCCCCTGAGCTCATCTTTGGGGCCACCAACTATATGACCAACATCGATATATGGTCAACCGGGTGTGTCATGGCGGAGCTCATGCTGGGGCAACCTCTCTTCCCTGGCGAGAGTGGCATCGATCAACTGGTCGAAATCATCAAGGTCCTCGGGACCCCTACACGAGAACAGATCAAAACAATGAATCCAAACTATATGGAGCACAAATTTCCCCAAATCAAACCCCACCCTTTCTCAAAGGTATCTTTGCCTCGTTCCTCCCGCCATCCTGATGCGACTCACCATCTTCTCCTCCCATAGGTGTTCCGACCACGTACGCCGGTAGAGGCTATCGATCTGGTCTCACGCCTACTCGAATACACCCCAGGCGCCCGTCTCAGCGCGATCGAGGCCATGTGCCATCCCTTCTTTGATGATCTTCGAACAGAGACGACGAAGATGCCGAATGGGAAGGACCTTCCCCCATTATTCAATTTCACTAGAGAAGGTGCGTTCATATATCCTTCGTTTATGCGCCTAGCCTCCTTATGCTCTTGTTCTAGAATTGTCAATTCGACCTGACCTTAACCGTCAGCTTGTGCCATCGCATTGCGAACCTGAGCTCGCGGCGCGAGGGATCGACTTGAACAACTTCAAGCCGATACCACTGGAGGATTTGCGGATTACGTTGGATTGAGGGATCTGACTTTGGGCCTGTTGATCTCGCCTGTGGCCGAGTGCGCGTTCTCATTTGGCGTGTGGGATCCGTTCTGATGTCGACCTTGCTTGTTGATATACCCCCGAACTGTGTGTTGGTACATGCCCACCCTTGTTTCCTATCCTTCCTGTCCGACGCCGTTGTTTTTGCCATCGCTCGCTCGCATGCCCTTTCCCCCCTCTTTCTCCTTCCCGCGTTGAGATATGTAATTCCCAATCCCTTACATAAGAAACACCAAGAAATAGTTTATTTCATACCGGAAGCCAATTGCGGCAGATTGCGTGATTGGTATATCCAACAAGTTTGGATCGCGCCAGTTTTATGCACCAAAACCTCCTTCCCCCCACAAAAAGCAGAGCGGACGTCTCACTGCCCACTGCATCCTACCCTCGCTGTTGACAGCCACAACATGGACGAGACTTCCAAGTTATGTGACACCATTCCTCCCCCCCAACATCTGGCCTACGCTCCCCGTTTTGTATTCGAACCCCGGTCGCTCAATCGAGAGCCCGAACCCGCAATCTCCGACGCGTTTGATACCTCATTTCGTGCCTCTGGACTACACTCCGACAGCACCCACACCCCCATCCGTCATTCGAATCCCACCGATATCCCTGAACCTACCCCGGCTCGCCAACTCTGTGTCCGCCACAAACGTATGGCAGACCAGGGGACGAATCTTAAACTGCAGAAGGTATGTTAACGTCCTCTGGCTTGCCGGCAGATCTACTGACGTCCATGAGACCAGTCCTTAGATGCTCTCCCAGTAGCTGAACGTGAGACTGTCAACACTCTATGGTCCATGTTCAGTTCATCCACGCACGCTCGGAGGGCCATCATCCTCCAAGGAATCCTTACCATGTGTTGTTCCACCCAACTGTCCATGCTCGCCGAGCAGGTCCCCCAACTCCTTCGTATCGACCCTTTCTTCGTCCTGCCCCGTGAGGTCTCTCTCCAAGTCCTCAAATATCTCGATGCCACCTCCCTTGCTCGGGCTGCCCAAGTCTCTCAACAGTGGCATTCTCTTGCAGACGACGATATCCTCTGGCGGAACATGTGCGAACAGCATATTGAGAAAAGGTGTAACAAATGCGGGTGGGGGCTTCCGCTGTTGGAGAAGAAGCGAATAGGGGCTCGTAAAACTGGTATGGCCTCGTCCAGCTCGCATACAAAGTCCAAGCGCCCCATGCCTTTCGACAATGATCCAGACCATACTCTGTCGAGCCCAAAGTCCGACACGACTGGCCTAGAATCTGTATCAAAAAGACGCAAGGTCGTCCACTCTCATCTTGCAGCCCTCGCCCGTATCCCATCATTCTCTGATCCGGGGGTTTCGGTTGCCAGCCATGATTCCCCTTGTCTCTCCGACTCCGACTCCGAGTCATCACTTATGGACGCTGGTCTCAACGTTCGTGGTGCTTTCACACGACCGTGGAAGGACGTTTACAGTGAGCGTTTGACCGTCGAACGCAACTGGCGGCGCGGCCGCTATAATGTTACAGTCCTGCGAGGGCATGCAGATGGCATCATGTGTCTCCAAATCAACGAAAATCTCTCCCATCCCAATTTCCCTGTCCTTATCACGGGCTCATACGACCGTACGGCTCGCGTGTGGAATCTCGAAACCGGGCGAGAGGTCTTGTGCCTCCGTGGCCATACACGGGCTATACGGGCCATCCAGTTCGACGAGGCTAAATTGATCACTGGCTCCATGGACCGTACCCTCAAAGTATGGAACTGGAGGACAGGCAAATGCATCCGGACGCTCGAGGGGCATACCGAAGGTGTCGTCAGCCTCGCGTTCGATGCTAATATCCTCGCAAGTGGTAGCGTTGACACGACCGTTAAGATATGGAACTTCCGCACTGGAGAGTGCTTTACGCTGCGGGGACACCGAGATTGGGTGAACGCCGTCGCGATATGGGATGGGAAGTCGGTGGCGCCGTCTCATCACGAAGTGGAAACTATACCGTCGGGTTGTTTGCCAGATCTCGACTCTGGCAAGATGCTTTTCAGTGCATCCGACGATGCTTCAATTCGGCTTTGGGACCTCACTAGTCGCACCTGCGTCCGACAGTTGAATGGGCACGTTGGACAAGTCCAGAGCATCCGGGTGGTCTATATTGACTGTGAAGAATCGAACGAAGATCAGGGCAGTGAAAAGTCAAGACCAGATGGCTTACAGTCACACCCATCTAGGGAACTTGAGGGCCGCTTTGCGCGACTCCTCTGGCACCGGCC